TAACCTATTTCTTTTTTTTTTTTTTTTTTTGAGTTGGAGTCTCACTCTGTTGCTCAGGCTGGAGGGCAGTGGCACACTCCCGGCTACCACAGCCTCAACCTGCTGGGCTCTGGTGATCTTCTGCCTCAGCCTTCCGAGTAGCTGGAACTACAGGCGTGCGCTACCACACCCGGCTAATTTTTTGATTTATTGTAGAGATGAGGTCTTGCCTAGTTGCCCAGGTGGTCTCGAACCCGCGGGCTCAGGCAATCCACTCACCTCAGCCTCCCAAGGCACGGTATTACAGGCTGAGCCACTGAGCCCGGCTAATTTTTTTTTTTTTTTGAGTTGGAGTCTCACTCTCTTGCCCAACCTGCTGGGTCCGGCAATCCTTCAGCCTCAGCCTTCCAAGTGGCCGGAATTACAGGCATGCGCTGCCACGCCCGGCTGATTTTTTTATTTATTGTAGAGATGAGGTCTCACTGCCCAGGCGGGTCTCAAACCCGCGGGCTCAGGCAATCCACTCACCTCAGCTTCCCAAAGGTGCGGGGTTACAGGCTGAGCCACTGAGCCTGGCTAACCTACTTCTTTTCATTAACATTTTTATACATCTGTCTCTTTTAACTATTGGTTTTTAGCTTCAAGTCCCACCGCTCCCCTTGCCTGCTTACCCATTCTTTTCTGAGAAGATGCGATTAACTTCTGAGTCGATTTCTGAGTAGATTTTGCCAGTAGGAAATGCTAGCAGGGGACTGGAAGGAGAAAGGTTGGGAGAAGGACTCATGTTTGGCCTCCAGGTTGGGTCTCCCCCTCTGAGGCTAACAGCTGTGGGTTTAGCTTCCAGCTTTTGGTGACACTCTCAGTCCGGACTTTCCTCCCCTTGAGGTGGGAGGAGGGCTCCTCTTCCTTCCTTCAATGCTCCCCTTCTTTTCTTCCATCGACTTCTCCAGCCCTGGATTCCCCCACCTCTGCTTTCTTCTCTCCTCTCAACAGGAAAGAGTCCATGGTCTTTCCTCGGAGACCCTGCCTCCCCACTCCGCCGGTCCCTCGGTCTTCTCTCTCCTCCCTTCTGCCCTCCTCTGGCCCTGCCCCCATCACACTCCTCCTCCCTCCTCCAGATCAAAGACTTATTCATGAAGAAATGCCCTGGGGTGAATTCTCTCTTCATTGATGGCTCCTTCCAGCTGCTCTAGTGAGTATAGACCTCTGTGCTTGGAAGCTTCTGGGCAAGAAAGGGGGTTGGGCTGATAGTTCCTCCAGATCCAGGGAGATGTGACTCTATCGAAGTGAATTCACCCAACCTGGGTAGCTCAGACTTAAAGTCAGGAGAAGGCCAGGGTCGAGCAATAGGGTCTTCTTGTTAAAGAGAGATTCTGGCTGCTAAGGAGCCACCATATACACTATGGATATAAATAACTTTAACCTCTTATGTTGGTGAGTGATTGCTAATGTCTGCCTGCAGTGCCATGTTAAGAATTTCGGGGCACTGTCTGTGTTTAGTGGGGAAGAGTTCCGTGATTGATTAATGATGTCTGCCTAGGACACAAGATTAGGGAATCACGATATGTGTGCTACATCTTCTCCATTTCCCTTAGAGATGGAGAACCATGAAATTCACTTGTCCCCAAAATCGCCACTCACTCTTTCTCTAGCAATTCCAAAGGGCATTGCTTTAAGGACTTGTAGGGCCTCAGGGTCATTGCACACACATCAACTGCCAACTAATTGAGCCTTCTGGTGACCAGAATGCTGGGGTGCCCTGCTAGTCCACTTCGGTTCTTCACCGGGGGGTCTAGAACGCATTGCGATGTCCTGGTGGCCTGCAGGGCTCAGGGCATGTCCTCCCTCCGGGGCCTCACTGTCCCCTCTCCCCTCTGGCCCCTCTTGTGGCCTCCCTGCAGCTTCATCTACTCCGTGCTGGTGATCGTCTCTGCGGCCCTCTACCTGGCAGGGATTGAGGCCTACTTGGCCGTGATGGTCTTTGCCCTGGTCCTGGGCTGGATGAATGCCCTCTACTTCACACGCGGGCTGAAGCTAACGGGGACCTATAGCATCATGATCCAGAAGGTTCGGGCTGGGAGGACACCCTCTACTTGTGTCCACACACAACACGCCACACACAACACGCGCACACCTTATGCGTCCACAGACCTGAGGATATGGGACGCCATGGGGGCTAGGGGCACAGCCTGGGAGTTGGGGAGGGACCGGGCAGAGGTGGAAGGGAGGCTTGGGATGGGAGACACGAAACGCCATGTGCCTCCTCTTGCCTCCACAATCCCGCTGGCCTGCAGATCCTCTTCAAGGACCTTTTCCGCTTCCTGCTTGTCTACTTGCTCTTCATGATCGGCTATGCTTCAGGTGAGCTCTGTGTGCCCAGGCGGGGCGGAAGGGTGGTGCAGTGCAGACACAGAAGCCGTCATGTGCCAGGGACAGTGAGCAGTGCATGGGTGCCAGTCACTGGATGGAGCACGTCACCACCCCTACTGTGTTTAGCCCTCCCAGCAAGGGAGCCACGTGCCCTTGTCATTCCGTTTCATAGACAAGGAAACTGAGGTTTGGAAAGGCGAGATGATGTGCCCACGTTCAAAAGCTAGAAGACGGTGAAGTTGGTGTATCCGTTATTGCTGCAAAGGAAGCCTACCTAAAATAGTGACTTAAAACGACAAGCATTGGCCAGGCACAGTGGCTCATGCCTGTCCTCCCAGCACTTTGGAAGGCTGAGGTGGGAGGATTGGTTGAGCCCAGCATTCAAGGCAGCAGTGGGCTATGATTGTGCCATTGTCTTCCAGCAGGGCAACAGAGCAAGACCCCGTCTTTTAAGAAAACAAAACAAGCTGGGCTCGGTGGCTCAGCCTGTAATCCCGTGCCTTTGGGAGGCTGAGGTGAGTGGATTGCCTGAGCCCGCGGGTTCGAGACCCGCCTGGGCAGTGAGACCTCATCTCTACAATAAATCAAAAAATTAACCGGACGTGATAGCACATGCCTGTAATTCCGGCTACTTGGAAGGCTGAGGTGGAAGGATCGCTGGAGCCCAGCAGGTCGAGGCTGCGGTGGCCGGGAGTGGCCACTGCACTCCAGTCTGGGCAACAGAGTGAGACTCCAACTCAAACAAAACAAAACAAAACCCCTCAAGCATTTATGGCTGCTCATGAGTCTACAGCGAGATGGGTGGTCCTGCTGACCTGCGCCAGGTTTGGCTAAGCTCAGTGGGCTCCTGGATCTGTGGTCAGCTAGCAGGTTGGCTGCCAGCTGACTTGTCTAGCTAGGATGACCTCAGACGGCCTAGGACTTTTCTCTCTTCCATGTGGCCATTCAGCCTGAGGCCAGCTAGCTTGGGCTTGTTCACGTGGTGGTCTTAGGCTTCCAAAATGTGAGCAGAAGCATCCAAGGCCACTGCTGCCTCTTTCTGTTGGCCAAGGCCAGCCACAGGGCCACCCCTGACTCAGGATGGGGAAACAAATACCACCTCTTGATGGGAGAAGCTGTACAAACACATTGAAGGGGTGTGGATACATGGATGGCTTTTTTTTTCCTTCTAAGAGCCGGAGTCTCACTCTGTCACCCAGGCTGGAGTGCAGTGGCATGATCACAGCTTACTGCAGTCTCAGCCTGCAGGCCATCCTTCCAGGCTCAGGCCATCCTTCCACCTTAGCCTCCCAAATAGCTGGAACTACAGGCACACTCCACCACACCTGGCTAAGTTCTTCATTTTTTGCAGAAATGAGGCCTCACTAAGTTGCCCAAACTGATCTTCAACTCCTGGGTTCAAGCAGTCCTTCCACCTTGACCTCTCAAAATGTTGGGATTATAGGCATGAGCCACTGCACCCAGCTGGAAGCATGAAATTTAATCATTTACCAGCCCAGGTCTTATCTTAAAGCCCCAAATCGGCTCCCATTGATATGCCTTTTCTGTGATGTCATGATGCCAGACAGGCATTCTGGGACCTTGGTGCCATGGGCCATAGGGGAAGGCACAGGGCCAGAGAGACTGACCAAGCCCCTGGACTGGTCCCCAAGGGGTGGGCAATCTGACATCCAAAGGGGAATGGCCTGCTGAGGTTCGACCAGGTCACATTCACATCTGAGCAGGTCCATCTGGAGACCAGCCTGGCTCAGGCATCTGATGGTGGTGACATTTTAACCCATGATGGTAGCAGACACTCCACAGATGGTGTGGATCATTTTGGGGAAGTGGCACTGTAGCCTTGGCTGAGGAGATAGGGACAGGGTGCAGTTTTCCTCTTCCAGAGATAGGGCTGGAAAAACTAGACAGGATTAAGTGTTTGGCAACAGTTTGCAATGTAGGTCAGAAGTCCAGCCCTACTAAAGTCCTAACTGTAGAAGCTGAGAGAGAAACAGAGGGACTAAAGTTGCAACTGAGTGGTCAGCTTTGTCCTGGGGCTTCTCCTACAGGACACACTAGATCCCAGGTCTGAGGCTGACACAACATAAACAGGCACACACACTACTGTTCTCCTACTTCGGTTCCCATGGCAGACATTACTAATGGATCACAGAACTGTTTTTCTGATGAGTCCAAGCAAGATCTCAGAGTCCTTCTCAACAGACATCACGTAACTGACAGCATGAGTTGACCCCTGCTCCCTCTAGTCCCTGAGTGAAGGCAACATGACATTCTATGTGTCCTGTGGGCTGTGGGGGCTGAGCCTCCTCATGCTCCCTGCCCAGGTAGTTTGGGGATAGGTTGTTGCTGCTCAGCTGGATTCCAAGGCCTCATCTGGGCTTAGTGGGGAAGGGTGGGCACTCTGGGTGGCAGGAGATGTCTGGAGGAGGAGGGGGCCCTTAGAGGACTCGGCTTGGGGACAGTCAGGACTGGGGCCTGGTTTTAGCCTCCACCCTGGCTCTCCGGGTGAGCTGGGGTAGGAAGCAGGGACATGAGACAGAGTCTACCCCTGGGTGTACAGGCATTCCAGAGCTTCCAAGGGATCCAGGAACAACAGGCTATGCCGGGGTCCCTCAGCCCTGACCCTGTGGGCATTTGGGACCAGGTGGCTCCTTGTGGCAGGGCTGTCCTGTGCACGGTGGGGTGGCCAGCAGCGTCCCTGGCCTCCACTTCCAATCGTAACAGCCACCCGTCTCTAGACATTAGCCAGGCCCCGGAAACCTCCTCCTTGCCAGCAAGCATCTGTGGAAGAGCAAGGCATGGAGACCTGGAGGGCCTGGGTTCAAGTCTTGCTTGGCTCCTGTGCTGGCTGACCTCAGGCCATGCCAACCCCGTGCCAGGCCTCAGCTCCGACCCGCCCCTCCAGGAGTGCTGCCCCCTCCCCGCAGGCCCTCCATGCTCATGAGCGCCCCACCCCTCCCACAGCACTGGTCTCCCTCCTGAACCCCTGCGCCAACATGACGGCATGCAGCGAGGACTGGGGCAACTGCACGGCGCCCACCTACCCCTCGTGCCGCGACAGCGACACCTTCAGCACCTTCCTGCTGGACCTCTTCAAGCTGACCATTGGCATGGGCGACCTGCAGATGCTGAGCAGCGCCAAGTACCCCGTGGTCTTCATCGTGCTGCTGGTCACCTACATCGTCCTCACCTTCGTGCTGCTCCTCAACATGCTCATCGCCCTCATGGGGGAGACCGTGGGCCAGGTCTCCAAGGAGAGCAAGCACATCTGGAAGCTGCAGGTGAACCCCGCGCCTCGCCAGCCCCCTCGTCTTGGCCCTCGGGCTCTGGCATTCCAACGCTCCTGGGAGCACCAGAACCGTAGACCACGACAGGCCTCCACACGGCAGACATCCGGGGCGGGGTGATTCCTCCTGGCGGGGCTTCCTCTGCACTGTGGGGACCCAAGTGGCATCCCTGGCCTCCACCCCTCGGCGTGACAACCCACGCTCGTCTCCAGACGTTGCCAGATGTCCCCTGGTGGGAACATCTGCTCATGCTGCCTCCACTTTCCTGTCTGTGAAATGGGCGTCAGAGGCTGCTGCCTGCTTCTCTGAGTCACCGAGTGAATTTCTAGGGGCTTCTTGCCTGCCCACCAGTGGTGATCTCAGACTCGCCCTGTGGTCTGGCTCACAGGACACAGTCAGCTCCACCCAGCGTGACCAGGCTTTCCAGCTCCTGTTCCCCTAGAAATGGGGTTGATAGACCCAAATACCCACAGGCGGTGGGCAGAAAAACAAAGGCGGGAAGCAGGGCAGACAGGAAGCAGGGCAGACATTACGGCAGCCCTGGCCCCAAGACACATTTAGAGCAGTGGCCACTCGGTGATGGGAATTGCTAAGGAGGGGTGGGGCTTGGGGCGAACCAGAGAGCAAATGCCCTGTAGAAGGAGGTGGTCACCTCTCATCCCAGCTGACAGCTGCGTGAGCCCCATACTGCCTGGTGCTCCAGCTTTTTAGGAGAGGCCATACATCTGGATTTTTAGATGGAATCTCTTAATTTTTGTTTCTTTGAGTCAGAGTCTCACTGTGTCATCCAGGTTGGAGTGCAGTGGCATGCCATGGCCACCACAGCCTCAGCCTGCTGGGCTCAGGCAATCCTCCCACCTCAGCCTTTCAAGTAGCTGGAACTACAGGCACACACCACCACACTCCCAGGACTGGGTCTGAGGGAAACAGCTCAGGCCTGTTCTTAACCTTTTAATCCACACTGCTTACTTCTCTGAGCCTCAGTTTCCCCACTGGGCATAACTCACAAGATGCAAACTGGGCAGCCTGTGGACTGTATTTGAACAGCAAAGACTTACTTTTTCTGAACCGCTACATTTTAAAATTTATATTTTGGAGACAGGTCTTTGTTACTCAGGCTGGAGTACAGGGGTGCAATCATAGCCCATTGAACTTCTGGGCTCAAATAATCCTCCTGCCTCAGCCTCCTGGGTAGGTGGGGCTACAGGCTTGCATCACCACACTTGGCTAATTAAAAAAAATTTTTTGTAGAGACAGCGTCTGATTTGTTGCCCAGGCTAGTCTCAAACTCCCTGCCTCAAGTGATCCTTCCACCTCGGTCTCCCAAAATGCTGGGATTGCAGGAGTGAGCCACCACAGCTAGTCTAGACACCCATATTTTGAAAAAATGTAACAAAATGTAAAAATTAAGAGATTCCCACTGGGCACTGTGGCTCATGCCTATAATCCCAGCCTTTAGGAGGCAGAGGGGAGAGAATTGCCTGAGCCAAGGGGCTTGAGACCCGCCTGGACAACTTGGTGAGACCTCATGCCTGCTGTGAGGGTGGCGGGTGTGGGCAGGGGGGCTCATGGATGTCCCTGCCTGACTCCCTACAGTGGGCCACCACCATCCTGGACATCGAACGCTCCTTCCCCGTGTTCCTGAGGAAGGCCTTCCGCTCCGGGGAGATGGTCACCGTGGGCAAGAACTCGGATGGAACCCCAGACCGCAGGTGGTGCTTCAGGTGAGGCTGGGTGGGCAGGGAGAGCCCCCAGTTGGGGCCTGCTGCCCTGACCATTGCACTTTCCAGAGCCACCAAGACCCCGATCGGCCCGGCCAGAGTTGGCCCCACTGGCTGGTCTTGGGCAAGTCGGTTCTCAACCTTGGCTTATTCATCTGTGAGATGGGGACAACGATAGCATCCACTCCTGGACCAGCTGTGTGGATTGGGTGGGTCAGCAAGTGACCCCAGTGCTTGATGCACATTGGGACTTCCCCTGTCCGTTGCTTAGAGGGAAGGGGAGACTTGGAGGCAGGGCTCATCTCAGAGCATTCCCCTCCACTCACCAAACAATGGGGTGGGCTCCAGTGCCTTGGTTGAAAGGGGGAACTGAGGCACCCACAGCTTCCAGACCTCAGGGCCTTACCTGGCCCATCTGCAGAGTGACTCCATGTTCCAGAAGTATGGACGCACCAGCTTCTTAGGAGAACCCCTTGGTGAATCTTTTCTTTTAAGTTGCATCATTCTTGCCAGCACCGAGCATAAGCATAATGTTCGGAGTCAGGCAATGCCAGTTTCCTTATCTGCGAAATGGGGACAAGCATCCACTTCCTAGGCCAGTTCTGTTCACTTTGAGTTCAAAGCTCAAATCCTGACTGTAATTTACCCACTTTGTGATCTCAGAAAAACAGCTCAATGAGCCTCAGGCACCTACCTCATCTGGAAAATGGGTATAGAAAATGCACCTTCCTTGTTGGGTCCTAACCCTCAACTATTCAAAAGCAACTACTCAAAAAAAAAAAAAAAAAAATTAGAGGTTGTAGGAAAATAACAAAAAATTTGGTGGGGGGTGGGATTGGCTGTTGAGGGAAACTGCCAGGGGAGGGGAGGCACGCCTCATCAACAAGGGTACCTGCATAATCAACGTGTGTATACCTAACCCTGAATTGTACCCCACATCTTTATAATAAAAAAAAAATTTTTTTTAAAAAGCAGAAATTATATTGAGCCAACTTGGGCCTTGAAGGTTGTGACTTGACTTGTCCAGGGTTCCTGGTGCTAAGAGGTGACAGTATCAAGAAGGAGGGTGTCACCAGGTGCAGTGTGACCCATATCTGGAATCCCAGTGCTCTGGGAGGCTGAGGTGGGAGGATCACTTGAGTACAAGAGTTCAAGACCAGCCTGGGCAACATAGAACCTCACTCTAAAGAAATTTTAAAAACTAGCTGGGCACAGTTGCCCACATCTGTAGTCCCAGATATTTGAGAGGCTGAGGCAGGAGGATCACCAGATCCCAGAAGGTGGAGGCTGCAGTGAACTGTGATCACACCACTGTACCCTAGCCTGGGTGACAGAGTGAGACCCTGTCTCTTAAAAAAAAAAAAAAAAAAAAAAAAGCACGTGCAGTGGCTCACACCTGTAATCCCAGCACTTTGGGAGGTCAAGGCAAGAGGATTACCTGAGCTCAGGGGTTTGAGACCAGCCTGGGAAACTTGGTGAACTTCATGTCTGCAATAAAAAAAAAAAAAAAAAGGATGAAAGGATGTCCATCAATAAATGAATGGATAAACAAAATGTGGTATATCCATGCAATGGAATATTATTTGGTATTATTTGACTATAAAGAGGCATAAAGTTCTAATCCATGCTACATCATGAGCCTTGAAGATGTTGTGCTAAGTGAAAGAAGTCAGACATAACAGACCACATGTTGTGTGATCGCTATGAAAATGTCCAGAAGAGACAAATTCAGAGGAACAGAATGTCGATGAGAGGTTAGCAGGGCCTGGTGGGAGGGGAATAAGGAGTTATTGCTTCAGGGGTACAGAATTTCTGTTTGGGATGATGGAAAAGTTCTGAAAATAGATAGCAGTGATGATAGCCAACACTGCAGATGTGCTTGGTGCCATTGAGTTGTGTAGTTGAAAGTGATTAAAATGGTAAATTTTGGCCAGGCACAGTGGCTCATGTCTATGATTCCAGCACTTTGGGAGGCCAAAGCAGGAGAACTGCTTGAGCCCAGGAGTTGAAGACCAGCCTGGAAACATAGTGAGACCTCATCTCTACAAAAAACTTAAAAAATTAGCCAGGTGTGGTGGTGTGCACCTGTAGTCCCAGCTACTCAGGAGGCTGAGGTGGGAGGATCGCCTGAGCCCAGCTGGTCAAGGCTGCAGTGAGCTATGATCACGCCACTGCACTCCAGCCTGGGCAACAGTGAGACTGTCTGAAAAAAAAAAAAAAAGGCAAATTTCATCGTGTATATCTTACCGTAATAAAAAGACAGGAGGCAGGCATGCTGGGACTGGGGGAGGAAGGAGGCTGCTGGTTGGGGGCAGGGAGGGTCTCCGCGGGGCTCCTTTGACCCTCTGGTCTGACCCAGGGTGGACGAAGTAAACTGGTCCCACTGGAACCAGAACCTGGGCATCATCAACGAGGACCCGGGCAAGAATGAGACCTACCAGTACTACGGCTTCTCCCACACCATGGGCCGCCTCCGCAGGGGTGAGTGCAGTGCTGGGGGAGGGGAGGCTTGGGCCCTCCTTAGCGAGGGTTTGCACGGAGCAGGGCACCCGGCTGGGACTCAGTGTCCACGCCCACAGGATGGGCGCGAGGGATGGCTGGCCCTGGGCTTCCGTTGCTGCTTGTGCATGCCGGGCACCTCACCCAGAGGGCTTCACCCCGGCCCTCCCTGTGCCGTGATGCGAGCTGGTCTGAGGGGAGGACCAGGTGCTCAGCCGTCCGTGGGGAGAAATCCCCATTTTTTCCACTAAGGCGTGAGCGCCTGAGATGCAGTGGGAGAGGACTTGGGCACTCAGGGCACTGGCTTAAATCCCGGTTCCTCCGTCGACTTCTGGGCAGACACCATGACCTGAGCTCCAGTTTTCACCTCTGTAAAGTGGGCGTGTTTACGCCCCCCTTTCGATCCCTGTGGAGTACACAGTGGATGCTCAATCCCTGCGCTTCCCTCACTAGCCCTCACCCCCCCTCTGGCGCGCTCACAGGTCGCTGGTCCTCCGTGGTGCCCCGCGTGGTGGAGCTGAACAAGAACTCGAGTGCGGACGAGGTGGTGGTGCCTCTGGACAACATGGGGAGCCCCAGCTGTGACGGCCACCGGCAAACTTATCCCCCCAAGTGGAGGACTGAGGACCCCCTCCTCTAGGCTGCGGCCGGGGCGG